CCCCAAAACCCCAAAACCCCAAAACCCCACTCCTTAGCAAACATATTGAAAAATAAAATTAAAAATATATAATAATAAATGGAAAGCATTGCTAAAGTTATTGAAGAAGAGGACACAGAGATTATCAGGTAACCGAGAGCTGAATTTTAGAGTGCTCTAAATTTTGATCCTCTAATTTATTAAAACTTCCAATCTTTTTAATGCCACATCAAAAACTAATCAACATCTAAAATGATTACCTTGCAAATTCCTTGGCTGAAAATATTCTTACCTAAACTGGAAATAATTCCGTAACATTATCTCCCCAAAATATATTTGATATCTAAAAAGATTGAGTTTTCTTCTAAAGATTTAAACTTCAGACTTCTAAATATTACAATTAACACTTTTTCACTAATCTAACTTAAACTTTCTGATGGATTCTGACTTTGATCCCTCTCTTCTTCTATCTCTAATTGTGCAGTCTAGAGAAGTCTATCCTGGCCAAAACCAAGAGACAAGATATCACCAGATGTCAGAGCATTCTCTATAATGGTTTTCCAAGACTTAAAGAAATTAAGCCATTGGTTTCAGACTCTGGGGAAGCCTCAAGAAATAATTTCCTTTCCTTTTATTGAAGCGATCTTCGGGATGTAAAGCTTGCAAGGAATTTGAAACATCTCAAATTCTTTGATACTTATAGGATTCTTTTTGTTCATGTTGACTCTAAAAATAGGCATTTTGTAAATTTCTTAGAATCCTCATTCCCAAATAAAACTAATGATCTCGGTTTTTGCTCCAGGTATGGAATGGGTCTGGATAGATCAAATTACTTAAACCCACTGCTCAGGCTCAGTTCTAAAGTCGTCCAAACAGTGTCATTTCGATCTTTCACCATTGGCCTTCCCTCATTGAAGAGACTGGTGGTAGCTTACAAGCATGTCAGAGTGTTGAGGTTGATCTGTTGCAAGTTATCAATTCCAAGTGTTCCAGACTTTTCAAAGGCTCTTACAAATTGCCAAATCCAGCAACTAGATTTAGAAGGAACAGGAACAGCTGGTTTAAGTGGCTGTGGGAACAACTTTTATCTATTTAAGAACTTGATACAAGGGTTAGCAAGTTCTCCAGATTTAAGATTGAGTCTTAAAGAGGTAGTAATCTATAAATGAGGAGTAAGCCAATCTGAAGCTGAACAGATGTTTGAACAAAATCTACTTGAAGGAGTTAAAATATTTCCAAGATATTAAATTTTGGTTAAATTTTATCTTTTTACTGCATAGGCTAAAATGCTATAATTTCTCCATATTTGAGCCTTGGTGACTTTTAATATATTTTGGGGTTATGATTAAGCTGGGGTTTTGGGGTTTTGGGGTTTTGGGG